GCCGTGGGGCAGCGGAGCAGGGGTGGGGGAGCCTGGGGTGACAGCCAGCTCTTCCCCATGCTCCGTCCTCAGGGCCCAGAAGAGCCCACAGCGCTCGGGGATGCTGGGTAAAGGAGCTTGGCGCAGAGAACAGCATTAACAGCCGCGCAATGGCTATTGTCACTGCATCCCCTCCCTTGCCCCCGGGGCGGGCCCTGACACTCCCACTGGAGGGACCTCGAGGCTGGAGGGGCTCTCAGAGACTCAGCTCGCCTGAGACAGGCTCCCAGAGGTGAACCGACCTGCCCAAGGCCAAACAGCTTTCCACTGGCGGAATCTGACCAGAACCACAGGTCCCTCTGGCCTTGAAGGGAAGGAGCGGGGGAGCCCCAAGTTCAAGAGCTTTTCCACAAAACTTCAAACTCAGCCGGGCACTGTTCTCAATGCTGGGTCCCTGGCGGCACACCAGGACACACACTTTGTGGAGTCGGAGTGTGTCTTCCAGTGACAGCCTAGGGGACGGCTCAGACAGGGCTGAGGACACAGCAACAGCGGGTCTGTCCCGAGCGTGGCCCGGCCGGTGCCCCCTCCCTGGAGGACAGCCAGTCTCCTTCCCCGGGCTGCGCCATGGCTGCTCCTGGGGCTTCCTCCTCTCAGGAGGCAGCCAGCCTTTGCCCTGAATTCTAGCCTTTTCTCACCCCTCAGGGGAAAGACGCTAGCTCCATAGAAAGAATGTTTATTTTAAATCTGCCCCTCAGCCAGCCCTGTTGGCCTCCCCTCTGCCCCAGCTCTCTTCTGCCACACACAGGGTCCTGGGCGGGGGTCAGCTGAGCAGAGCTGCCCCAGCCCCCCTGGAGGACACAGCCAGGGGCTCCTAGCTGGGACTGGCTGGCAGAGCTGCATCCAGCCCCTCCCCCTCTGTCCCAGCCCTAAAATTGGGGGAATGGAAGAGGAGAATGAGGAGCCGAGGACATCCGGTCCAGAGAGAGGGGACCAGTTTGGTGTCCTAAAACCAGGGCTTCCAACTGGCGTCCCCCGGGCCCTGCTGGTGCCCGGGACCAGAGGCCTGCAGGTCCTGCCACAAAACACACAGTGCTGGGAAATCAGGGTGCTGGGGCCCGGCCAGCGTTTGCCTTTTCCTCCACGTCTGGGCAGAGCGACTCGAACCCTCTCATCCCCCAGCAGGAAAAGCATATGTTCTTTCCATATAGAGGAGAAATTGTTCCACCAGTGAGTAAGCCTCTTGGCCGTGGAGCCCGGCCCAGCCCGCAGCACGCCGGGCAGGAAGCTGGGCAGCGCTCCTGACCACTCTTGGACGCGGACCGGGCTGGCTGACACCCTCGCAGACAACGGCCCTCCCCTCGGAGGGGGCTGGGGGCCTCGGGGGAGCAGGGCCAGGGTGTGCCTGGAGACACTCAGCAGTTCAGGGGAGCAAGAGGGCAGGGAGGGCCCTCTTCCTGGGGTGGAAGCGCGCTTCTGCCTCTGCCAGCCAGCTGAGCTGGGAAAGGGCAGAGGGACGGCCCCAGGCGGGCAGGGGTGGGGCGGCCTCTCCAATCCCCTCACTGTCCTGGGCCCTGGAGTCTGGGGCTGAGTCAGAGGTGAGTCAGGTGTGCCCAGCAACGTGGGCCATTTTTAGACTGTAATTTCCAGGCACCCCCAAATCTTCCTTGATGTCTTCGGGGCCAGGTATCGGGGCTCCTTTCCCCAGTACCTCGGTTCTCCCTGTCCTGGGCTCGTCTGGGGCCTGCTTCTCTTCCTGCCTTTCCCCCTTTGTTAAGGATTCACTGAGGGTGGGGTTGAGGGTGTGGGAAGGGAAAGGACAGGGAAGCCAGGGGGGTGGGATGGGGGTCAGCTAGTGGGGGCAGAGGAGAAACGGGGGTGCCCCACATAAGAGGAAAACACAGAGGAAATTGGGGACGATTCACCTGGAAAGTCGAAGGCTCAGGGTGGCAGAGGGGGAGACAGGAAAACCATCTGCAGATGTGTGACAGGTCACCAGGTCAAAGTGGGATTGAACTCATCTTGGGCGAGAGCCTTGGGTGGCAAACACCACTGTAGGTGAGGCAGCCCCCTCCCCCCAGGAGAGCTTTTTAAATTTGCTGTCCTTGGCCACATCCAGGCCTAGGGCGTCTGGCCCCCAGTGGGAAGGAGCCAGGTATGGGCTGGGTGGTGGACTGGAGTTTGGGTCTCAAACTGGTGTCTATGGGCCAGACCCAGCCCTGACAGTGTGCCCGCTGGCCAGCATCTCTGCGTGGCCACCGTCAGCTGGGGCTGGACCGCTTGTTTATTTTGTGGGGCTGGTCGCTGAGGCATTCACGCCTGTGGCCTTGCAGCGGGGGCCTGGGTGCACTCGCCCTTCCCCCCTCTCTGGGTGCAGCCTGCAGGCTGGAGGGGCAGCACCTGGTTAGACACAGGCTGGTCCCCTGTCCTCGGGGGAGACTGGAAGGCCCAAGCGTCCCTGTCCCAACTAGGATGCTGGATAGAGCTCCCAGCAGGCTGGAAACCACCACCGTCCTCTCCCGCCCTCAGCTGCCACTGCAGGGTCTGTCTTGTCTCCAGCGACCGGTGCTCACCACCCGGGACAGCGGGGTCGTTCGCCAGCCCTGGAGCAGACACAGGCCCCCAGGCTGTCCAGAGCCCCAGGGGCGGGGAGGGGGGGTGGGGAGCACCCAGGTCAGGGCCGCTGTGGACTGAGAGAAGGGACAAGTGGGAAGGAGGCCCCGCCCTGGGCCAGCAGCACAGGGGGTGGGGAGGGTGGGGAGGCCTGAGGGAAGGGCAGTAGCACCGACCTGGGGATGCTAAAGGGTCTGGGACGAAGGGACCAAAGGCAGGACAGTGCTAAGAAGCCCGGCCCTGCCTCCTGCCCGTGTGCCGGCTGGCCCGACTTGCACTCTTCGGAACCCAGGGCGCAGCAGGAGGGCAGGCGTCCATCTGTTTCTAGGACAGCTCTGGGAGTTGGGACAGATGCTCCCATTTTACAGAGGAGGCTGAAGCTGAAGTTGCCAGGCGTGAGCCTAGCCGCCGGTGACAGGGGGCTCTGGCGGTGCTGCGCCCAGCCACCGGGAGGGGTCTGCTGGGAGTAGCGGAGCTTGGGCTCGGGAGCCAGGCGTGTTTCCTTTATCAAAAAGAGGGGACATCAGTAACCCCCACGCAGGGTTACGGGGGACTATGAGATATGTATGAGACTATGTATGCTAGTGACAGGCAGCCAGTAAACACCACCTTCCCTCCCCCAGCCTCGAAAGCCCCCTGGGAAGAAGCCCACGTTTGCGGGCAGCTCTGTCTTTGTTAGGGTTGGGAGTGGCGGATGCTATTTCCCAGTCCTGCCAACAGGACCTCAGCCCTCCTGCCAGCGCCCAGTGGCAGGAAATGCCCCTGATGGATGGGGACGCTGGGTGTGACTCGAGCCAGGCCCATAGCCCTGGTCGGCCTGACTCCAAAGCTGGTGCTCTTTCTAGAGCCCTTGACAACCGAAAATCTGGCTGCACAGGAGGCGGGGACGCACCGGCAGGGGGCTGAGCCCAAGGCACCTGCTGCCCGCTGGGGTCCTGACCCTCCCTCTGGCACCGCCTAGGAGGAGGGGTGGCGCCTCCCAGGTTCCCCTCCCCATGGGGCTTCCAAGCATCACGGCCTGAGCAGGAAGCCGGGTTAGAGATTTACTTAGACAATGCTCAGCCTCTGGGGATCCTGGTTTGTCCCTCCTTTTAAGGAAACCTGAACCTTGGGCTGAGAGTCGGGGGGCCCTGGGTCCCCTCCCAGACCAGGCTGCATCCCGTCCCAGCGCCTCTCTGAGCCTCGGCTTCTGCAGCTGAGTGTGGACAGCCCAGAGGGTTCCTGGAGCAGCTCCCTGGGCACCTCGAAGGCGCTGCCCCTCACACGGTGTCCCAAGGCGTTCCTCAGCTGGACGACCCAAGGGCACCACCTGGTGGCCGGCTGCAGCCTGACAAGGCCGGCGCACCCAGCAGCTTTGAGGGTTCTTAGGAAACCATCACCACCCTGAAACTCTGGGACGGGGCAGGAGGGAACCCTGAGAGAGCAAGCTGCGCCTCCTCTCCCTTCCGGATGTGGGAAAGGCACGTCCTCGAGCTCCCCACACACCTGCCGAATGAGAAACTCCAGGTGACGCTGATGCTCGCTGGGGCGTGACGGCGCTGTGCTCAGAGGCTGGGACTGCCTAGAAAGCACCGCAGGTGATGCGCCTGTCCCAGGACCAGAGTCGCCCGTTGAAGTGAAGAAACGAACAGGTGCCTGGGCCCACCCTAGTGATTCTCCTCTAGCGGATCTGAGGTGGGACCCAGGCACGGGTTCGAATGACCACTGTGCAGTGGCTCCTAAGGAGCGGGGACACCCTCGGCCTTCCCTCGGTGAGCCGGGTCCCGGAGCAGAGTGCAGCGGCCCTCCCCGGGGCCCTCTAGACCTGCAGGTGGCCCGGGAATAGCGGCTGTGGACACTCTCTGGGTGCTGACGTAGCACTGGCGAGGTGCTGGGGCTTTGCACGCAGCACCTCATAAGCACCCCACGAGCCGCTACGGTCCCCCATTTCACAGATGGAGACACTGAGAGCTTACGTAACTTGCCCCCGGTTACGCGACTACTAGAGGGAAAGGCCGGGATTCCGACCTAGCTCTCTCTGACTCCAGGGTTTACTACCTTGCTTCCTCATTTTACAAGGAGGGGGACTTGCTCAAGGTCACCAGAGCTGGCACCCACTGCATTTCCTGTGCTGATCCTTGAAGCTGCAAGCGCCCGGGCACCAATCCCGAGAGTGGCTGGGCGGACCCCAGCAGGGTGCACGCAGGACGCAAGGCCACCCCTGCGGGCATAAACGCGCGGGAACAGGGAGGCGGTGGAGCGGATGTTAATTGCACCGGCTCAATCCTGAACCCCCAGGACTGAAGGTGTGGAAGAAACGGCCCAGCCCCCGGCCTACGTCTTCCTTCCCTGTCAGCGTCACGCAGCGGTCCTGTCCACTGCCGACCCGGCTCCCAGAGAAGGGAAGAGACAGAAAGAACATCCGGTGATGGAGTAGAGAAAATATAGAGCCATTTTACTATGAAAGATACATTTTCCAAAACAAAGGGGCTGCTGTCCTGCAGAGGTGAAACCCGAGTCCCTGGGGAAGGGGCCGGATGGCGCTTCCGTCTGGTGCCCCCGGCGGCGTCAGCGGGCCCGGATCCGCAGGGAGAGGCGGTACAGCTCCATGGTCGCCCTGGCGTCCTCCACGGAGCTGTGTCCGAGATGGCTGTTCTGCAGGCACAGGCGCAGAGCGGGCACTTGGGGCGGGGCTGGATCCAGGCCCCGGTCACCAGGGCTCCCCCTGCTCACACCCCGATTTCCAGGGGCCCCAGGTGGGCCGTGGTGAGCCCCCACCAGGCCTCTGGCACCCTGGGCTTGGGAGACTCAGCAGGTGGCTGCAGCTGGCCTGGCCTCACCCCTCAGCCCCGGGGCCAGAGGCACCAAGCCGGGCACAAAACCCAGCATCTGGAGACCCAGGCTGTGCCCTCGAGGTGCCCGCAGGCTGGCGGGGGAGTGGAGGCTGCAGACTTGCCTGTCTGACCCGCGGGCGGAGCCGCTGGGCAGCTCTAGCGAGGGGCTCCAGGATTTTTGGGGGGGGACGTCCGGCTGGGGACGTAGTAGGGGAGGCTGCTCGGAGCAGGCAGGGATGTCAGTAAGTGGCGACCGAATGCCGCTGGGCCCCGGGAGTGCGTGTGCAGCTGGAATAAGAGCTCCGAGAGGGGGAGCCTGAGAGGCGGTGTTGGGAGCGGGCCGTGGGCTGGGACCCATCAGCGGAGGCCTTGGATGCCGTGGGGGTGCGTCTACACTTATGGGGGTGATGATGGGAGTCGGGAGCCACTCAGTCCACTCAAAGGAGAAGCGACTGCCATTTGCCACCCGCTCCTGTGCCAAGCACTAGGCTCTCGTGATCCAGTTAAACCTCCGAGCTGGGTACGACTACTCCCCCATTTTATTGACGGTGACACTGAGGCTCGCACACAAGCCGGCAAGCTGTGGAGCTGGGATTTGCGTCCCATGGAGCCCACCGTGCCAGTCAAATTCCCACTGCTGGCCCTTCACATCCCCTGCCTGCAGTCGTGCTTCAGGTCGTGACCCGCCACCAGGTTGCCTTTCAGGAGCTGCAGGATCCTGGCCAGGACCCGCATGGGGTCAGTGGCCGTGTTTTCCGTTGTTGCTGTGTTGAGAGAGGCCGCCCTTCCCCTGCAAGCCTCCTTTCTCAGACCCCCAGACCGGATGCGGGGGGTACCTGGAGATGCGGCCCGGCTCAGGGAGGCTTCACTCCCTGTGTTAGTGGGGGGGGGGGGGAGCACGGTGGCCCCGGGCACTGTGCCCCACCACTCCCCTTGACTGACAGACGAGGAAACTAAGGCACAGAGGTCACGTGGTCTGCCACTCTGCTCTGTGGGGAAGGATGCCAAGGACAGAGCAGAAGATGCCACAAGCGTCCTCTGCTCACCAGTGCGGGGAGGTGGGCGGCCCTGGATTTGGAATCAATTCCGGCTCCCCTGCTCACGAGCTCTGTGACCCTGGGCAAGCCCCTTTCCATCTCTGGGCCTCCGTTTCCTCTTCTGTACGGTGGGCCTGCACACATCTGCCCCGGAGGATGCAGTGGGAGGTGTGAGACGCCCAGCACCCTCCCCGAGGCTGATGCCCCGGAGGGCCCTTCCTTTCCTGTGCGGCCAGCCCCTGTGCCGGCAGCTTGGGACGGAGAACCCACAGGATGCCATTCCTTCCCTTGGGGAGGTAACACCGCTGCCCCTCTGTGACGATCCCCCCACGTCAGCTGCTTGTGTCCTGGGGGGCACAGGTGATCGGCCGCACCACTGTCCACACTGGGGGGGTGCTTGGCACTGGCTTCTAGGAGCTGGTGGGTGGCTGCTGCACCCCTGGAACAACCAGGCTTAGCGAGCCCAGGGACACAGCCTGAGGAGGGGCCCGAGGCTGACGGCCACAGAGTGCCATGGGCTCCAGGGAAAGCCCAGCCTGGTCCTTGTGTGCCAGGTCGGCGGCTCACAGAGAGGCCCAGACTCAGGGCTGCTCCCGGCGCCAGACTCGGCACCTGCTGGCGAGGGGTGGGCTCCACGGTCCTCTCCCCCAGCTGCGCTATCCCCACCCATCCCCCTCTCCTGGCTAAGACTCACCTTCAGACTCTGTTCCGATCTGGCCTCCGCCCTGCCAGCTCCCACTTCCTCCCTGCTCCCAGGGCGAGGGCGCTGCCCTGCCCTCTGTGGACACTGCCCACCACGTGCGCTAATGACCTGGTTCTGGGCCACCTCCCGTCCAACCAAGAGTCCCTTGAGGACAAGGACAAGTCCTGCTCACCCCCGTGTCCTCAGCACCTGGCCCAGGCAGACACAGGGCCGGTGCTTGCGTCCCCTCCACACGCACACGCCCTCCCCGCCGGCTTTGCTGGGCCTGCTTCTCCCCGGAGCTGCGCCGGCCGGTGGCTGCGGAGGCGGGTGCAGACACCCGGGTGCAGACACCTGGGTGCACGGCAGGGGCGTGCTCTGCTCCTCACCCCAGAGCTCTGCGGCAGGACTAAGCTTCATTACCTGCAGGGTGACTGGCTCCATGTCAGCAACAAAACAAACCTCAACTGGGTGTTTCCCCTCCGGTCCCCATCCTCACTGCACCAGCGCCTCCTGGGGTCACCTCTCAGACAAGCTGCTTGCAGTCTGGGGGACAGCCCAAACACACCCTCCCTCCCACGGCGCACGGCCTCTCAGATGTGGAGGGAAGAGGGTCTTTGAGCCAACTATTTGCACCGGAGCCACCGTGGGTGTTTAGAGTCCTGGGTGGAGCGCCGGTCCCCACGGCAGGACCCAGGAGCAGTGCGTTGGCCGGACTGCCGTGTGCACGGCGCACTCCCCCTGGAGGGGGGGGCGGAGGAGGCCCTCACCTGGATGTTCCTGTGCGAGGGGGGGGCGGAGGAGGCCCTCACCTGGATGTTCCTGTGCAGGAGGCGCTCGCTCAGCACGCGCAGGGAGACGCGCCTGCAGTAGCCCAGCTTGGCCTCGTGCCACAGCAGCCTGTCCTCGGACGTGTCGTAGATGGCGTAGCCACTCATGTCCTCTTTCAGCGCCCGGAAGTCGTGCTTCAGGTCGTGACCCACCACCAGCTTGCCTTTCAGGAGCTGCAGGATCTGGCCGGGAAGACACGGGCGCCCCCCTCCGTATCACCCAGGGTCCTCTGGGCGGGTCCGGGGCAACTTAGTGCAGTCATGGGGCTGGCAGGGAGCAGCCCCTCCTTGGCTTGCTGTGTGACCTCGGGCAAATTATCATCCCTCTCTGGGCTTCAATCCTATCGTCTCTGAAAAGAGGAGATGGGAGCAGGTCCCTCCTCACCATGCTGTCAGTGTGTGCCTAGGGCCCAGATGTGCAGTGGCAGTGGCTAGTACACACTGAACACTTCCCACGTGCCAAGCATGCAACAAAATATATCACTTACATTATGCTGTTTAATCTTCTCAACCACCCTACTGTGACAGGCAGAACAATGACCTCCCAAAGATGTCTATGCCCTACTGCCCAGGACCTGTGAATATGCCACATGGCAAAGGAGAATTAAAGTTGCAGGTGGAATTTAGATTGCTAATCAGAGGATCTTAAAATAGGGAGATTTCTTGGATTATTCGGGTGGGCACGACAGCATCACAAGGGTCCTTGTTTGTGGAGGGCAGAGTGATTCCATGTGAGAAGGTCTGGCCATGCCGTAGCTGGCTTTGAAGGTGGGGAAGGGGCCAAGAGTCAAGGTATCCAGGCCGCTGCCCCCGGAAGCTAGAAAGGGCAAGAGAGTGGATGTCCTCAGAGTCTCCAGAAAGAACCCAGCCCTGCTGACACCCTGACTATAGCCCCGTGACACCCATGCTGGACTTCTAAACTGCAGAAGTGTGAGATAATATATTTATATTGTTTTGCCACTGAGTTGAGGGCTTTGTTACAGCAGTCATAGAAAGCTAACACATGGCTGGGCATGATGGCCCACGCCCGTAATCCTAGCACTTTGGGAGGCCAAGGCAGGAGGATCATTTAAGGCCAAGAGTTCAAGACTAGCTTGAGCAAGAGCGAGACCCCCATCTCCACAAAAGATAGAAAAATTAGCCTGGCATTGTGGCACCTGTAGTCCCAGCTACTCGGGAGGCTGAGGCAGGAGGATCGCTTGAGTCCAGGAGTTTGAGGTTGCTGTGAGCTGTGATGATACCACTGCACTGTAGCCTGGGAAAGACCCTATCTCAAAAAAACAAAACAAAAGAAAAACAAACTAACACAGCTAGGAGGGAGGGCTGCATTTAACTAAATTTTACAAATGGAAAAATCTGAAGCCCAGAGAAGTGAAGTGATGTGCCCAAGGTCACTCTTGATAATTTTAAACAAGTTTGCAAATTCCTTGACTCTTCTCAAAAGAGATGGACTCTAATTCCCCGCCCCTTGCATAAGGGCAGGCTCTCGTGACCGCTGGCTTGTCTCTGGGATCAGAATTCCGGGAGCCTTGAGCTGACAAGTCCAGCCACCCCGAAGCCACCATGCTGAAGAGACCGGGAGGAGAGGCCATACAGAGACAGAGACACGCCCAGGGAAATGCCAGCACCGGCCCCGAGGGTGAGCGACCTTCCGACAAGTCGACCCCCAGCCTTCAAGATGCCCCTGCAGACAAGCTGTCCCCACCCGCCAAGCACCTGCCCACATCACAGGAACATGAGCAAAATATTGACAGTGTCTTAGCCATCAAGTTTTGGGGTGATTGGCTAGGCACCATTAGATAACGGGGGCGGTCCCACAGCCAGCAGGCTGGCTCCAGGGCCCGCTTGTCCCCACCACACTGCGCTGGCAGAGCAGGCCACTCCGGGCCTCCAGCAGCCCAGGGGCCGAGCTACAGGGGGACAAGCCGGAGAGTGCCCCAGCCCGGCGTCCCCTCGGACCTCCTCCTGCGCATGCACAGCCTCCCACGCTGTGGCCACACGGCAGGCGCTGTCTGTCACTGGCTGTGTCGCAGAGGGAGGGAAGGGGCCCTGAAAGCAGAGCCGGGCTGAGCGGCACCAGGCCTGTGCTGAGGGGGCAGCTCGTGGCTGTGTCTGGCCACTTTGGACAGCTGTGACGCCTCCACCTCTTTCTCTCTGTGTGTCCCCCGACCTTCATCTGAGACCTGGGGCGGAGCTTTCCGGATGACTCACACCCTCCCCACAGCCTGCTCCTCCTTCTAGATGGCCAGTGGCCTCTGGGGACATCATGTGGTCCATTTGCACCTTCTTGTCTCGTGACCACAGGAAACCGGGCTCTGAGAGGTGCGGTGGCTTGTCCGGGGTCAGGGGGTTGGAAGCAGGGTCTGTCCATCCAGCTACTCCGCTGTCCATGTGGTTTTGTTGGGGCCTTCTGTGGACAGAGCCCGTGCCCCACACAGGGGACGGGGAGCGCCAGAGCATGTCTGGACAGCACTGCTCAAGCCTGCGTGCGCTTACCAGCCGCCTGGGGAGTGCGGTAAAGCAGATCGGATTCAGGGGTCTGGGGCGGGCCTGGGACTCTGCATTTCTAGCAGGCGATGCAAGGCTGCTGGCCCGGCGTCAAGGGGAGGATTGAGAGATGACGACACAGGCACACGCCCTCAGAGCAGCGGCCGGCTGGGGAGCCCGGTGTGCCCCAGCACACAGTGAGGGCAGAAGGGGCGTGCTGGGTGGCTGGGTCACGTGCCTGTTGTCGCTAACTTCCCTGGGCTTCTCAACAACCTGCCTGTTTTCCCCTCTGGAGTGTGGCCCAGGCCCAGTTCACACATGTCAGCCCACCAACCCAGGGCAGCCACAGCTGCTCCGGGACAGACACAGACTTGAGAGGGCTGAGTCATTGTCATGCGGATTCCTGGGACATTCCTCACTTCCTGAGCCTGACAGTCCCTGGTGGCGGGGGAGGGGGCCTCACTGGGCACTGGGGATTCATCCAGAGACATCAAATAAAATAAGAGGGGGAAGACAAGCAGAGGGAGGAAGCGGAGGAAAGGAGAGAAGAGAGCAGTCTACTTAGAGGGAGGCCAACAGCTCTTCAGGACAAAGGTGCGAGCACTGGACAGGGAAATCCCAATGGGACTTGCTGTGTGTCCTCGGGGATGCCACAGACCCTCTCTGGGCCTCAGCTTTCCCATTTGCAAGGCAAGGGCCTGGACTCATGAAGCTTGAGGGCCCCCCTTAGCAGCCAGGGGTTTCACCCACTTTCCCAGGCAGGGCTGGGGGGAGGCAGTGTGAACCCTGGGACCCAGGAGGGTGTGGAGAGGCAGCAGCAGGCCGGGCCTCAGGGCTGTGCGACCTGCCGGCCACCTGACCTGCCCTGAGTCAGTGTCACCAGGCAGGTGTGTCAGGCTTCGCAGCTGTCAAACACGGAGGCAGAGACTCTCGGATTCCTGGAAAGACCTGGGCAGGCTGGCGGGAAGGACACGCCTACCTCCTCTTAGCAGCCAGGCACCTGCCCCGGCCTGGCACCGTGCAGGTACTTCCCTGACCTCCTCACCAGGCTCCTCAACAAGACTGTCCCTAGTTCCATTTTACAGGGGAGGGAGCCGAGGTTCAGGGAGGTGGGGGTCGCCAGGTCACATGGCTGGTGAGTTGAAAGCGGCCATGCAGTGTCTGGTTCCACCTGCCCTTGTCATTGTTATGATAGTCGGCATTATTGCCACCCGCTGAGAACCGAGGGACAGGGAGTTCCGAGGGACAGGGAGTTCCAGAACCGGGAACATAGTCCTGCAAGGCGGGGATTGTCCTACCCTCTGACCAACTGGCAGGGGGGTGCAGAGCCGTGTGTACCCAGGTCCCAAACAGGTGAGTGACAGGCCAGGTGTGCTCTCTGCCTGCGTATTCCTTCCGTCCCGAGCTTCTACTCTATTTCCAAGTATTTCTCAGATGTGCCTGATCCAAAAGTTCTGGAGGGTCGGCCCTACTCCCGACCTTCTAATCAAAATCTCCGGGGAGGGGCGTTAGCGAATGTTCCAGGGGATCTCTCCTGTCTGACAAGTTTGGAGATCTCTGCACCGAAGCCCATTGAGCAGCTCGGAGCCTGCTGTTCCCACTATCGGTCCATCTGTCCTTCATTAATTCATGTATCCATTCATTCATTCTCAGTTGCCAAGAGCAGTGGCTGTGAGTAAGGGGCCCTGAAGAATGTTGTCCTCATATTAGGACCAAGTCCCTTACTGTCATCTTCCAGAGTGGTCCTGGCCCCCTCTTTGCTCCTGTCCCCTGCCAAGCTGTCCGGGTGCCCCTGCCTCCAGCTTGTGCCTGGTTCCCACAAGGCCCCTATCATGGGGCATATCTGGGGGGTGAAGCCTTCCGCCTCCATCTGGCCAGGCCCCAGGGAGGACTGCCAGGTAGCAGGGCCCAAACAGGACACTCTGGTCCACTCAAGGCCTGCTGTGCTGGCTACAGCTGCAATCACTCCCTGCTCACAAGCACCGCGCCCCCCACCCCCGCCTGTGTCTCCCTCCTGCACCACGGTGCTTCACGGAGTAGAGGCCGCTCATCGTGCTGAGTTAACATTAAAAGAGCATTAACTCATAAAAGTGAGTTGCAAGCTATCAAAAATTACTGTTCAATTAAAAAAAAGAAGAAGAACATTAACCGACCAGGTGGGAGCCCTGAATCTGTGTGCCGATTTGTATCACAGCTTCCTGTGTGTCCTTAGGCAAGTCACCACCCCTCTCTGGACCCCAGCCCCCGCAGCACATGGAGTCCCTCCCGAGCCAACAGTCTGATTTGTGGGACTCTCTGTACAGTCGGGTTCCTCGGCTTCAGCACTGCTCATATCCGGGGCCCCACGCTTCTCTGTGCGCGTTGGGGCGAGGCAGCTGTGCTGTGCATTGTGGGATGTTTAGCAGCACCCCTGGCCCCTACCCCTGTGTTATAGAGGATCCTACTGAGGGGCGCACAGAGAGGTTGAGAAACAAGCCAGAGGACACAGAGCATTCAGGTGGCAAAGCTGGGATTGGCCGAGTCTAAGGACAGTGTGCTTGCTCCCCGCCCCAGGGCTGTGTGTGTACCACATGGCCACGGCAAAGGCCAGCCCAGGGCAGAGGCCATTGTACTCCACGCAGCTGCCAGACTCTTTCGCACTTTATGAAAATCGGTTTAACTTCAATCCCATGAACGTTCTCAAATCACCTCCTGTGTGCAAAGCACAGCCTCTGCATGGGGGCAGGAAAAGCTAGGGCAGGAGCTGTGGACTAGGCAGGCCGTGTGCGGTGGACAAGCTAGGAGTGCGTGGGCAACAGCAGGGAGGGCCAGAGAGCAGGTCCCGTGCCGCAGGGGCAACGTAGAGGACTGCAGGCGGGGACGGGGGCCCGGGAGAGTAGGGTTTGGCTGACGCACAGGGCGGCAGTGGCTGAGCTATGGCAGAAAGCAGGAGAGGCAGGTAGGTAGACAGCGGTTTGGAGAGCTGGCTGCTGGGATGGGGTCCTTAGGCAGTGGGCAGCCACGACCTGAGCCAGGCTTGGGGAAGTTTCCCTGGCAGCAGCGTGGGAGAGGTTGGCAGCAAGCGTACCTACCAGGTGCAGCAGGAGAAAACGAGGCCGGCATCTGAGATGGCAGCAGCGCTCGAGGGAAGTGGAGAGGGGACTGCGATGTGTATTCCAGGTTTCTGCCCTTCCCTCCCCGGGCGGGCACAATTAGTGACCATCGGCTGTGAACCAGGCGCTGCGCTTAGGGCCACAGCCCATGTCACTGCAGCCAACCCACTGGGGACCAGGGAGGAGGCGTTACCACTCTCCTTCTGCCGCGAGGAAACTGAGCCTCAGAAGGTTTCCCTGGCTTGCGGAAGGCCACACAAACCAGTGGGAGGTGATGGCGCAGGAGCTGGGAGACCTGGATGTGCTTCCCAGACTGGCCTGGTCTTCACACGCCTCCCTCCCTCGTTGGCTCCCTCAGTGGCTCCCAAGGGCCCACCCTGGGCGGGGCCTTGTGCCGGGCACTGGCGGCGCTGGGCTTGGCAGAACCTCTGAGAAACAAAAGCGGCTCCGCACCAAGTCTGCGTGACACCAAGTCTGCGTGAAGACCGAGGCGTTCTGGCGCCCGGGACAGCGCTCAAGCTCGTCCAGAGAGTCGCAGCTGCCTGGGCCCAGATGTCCAGGGCGCCAGAGAAGCGTTTCTCCACTGCCTCTCCCTGTCCCCTGCTCCCAGCTCTCCTACCCCTTTCTGTCTTTGTGATGGGGAGGGAGCTGGGGACAAGGAGGAAAGCTAAGGACACACTGACACAGGAACTGGCAGGAGGCGTCCTGTGGGCTTGGCACTGGGCGTTGCTGCAGCATTAGCCAGGCAGGAAGTCTCAGAGTTTCAGATTGCCCAGATCAAAACAGGATGGAGGCAGGGCAAGCTCCAATCAGTTAGAGCCAAGATGGTGGAGGCATAGAGGGTGTCACCCTGATTCCAAGACAACACCGCCCCTTTGTGACTATTCCTCCCCTTGTTAATTAAGCCATAGCTTAGACAGAAAGGCCACAGCAACCAGGGGGCCGGCTCTCTTCTGCAGGGAGAACTTGCCTCTGTCCGTCTGTGGAGTATTCTGTGGCTGCTAGATACATCTCGCTTTCCCTTTGTAACCACTCGAACTCCTGGGTCCCCACACCGGGAGTCACTTTCCCATGTCGGTACTGAGGGAGGGGAGCTCCTCCCACTGTCCCTGAGCCTCCCCCCAGCACCTGCACGGCCCCCACCTCTTCGCCTCTCCTTTGTGTTGCCCTCCCCTTCTTGCTGACTCTCCTTTGGTCTCCTCCTTCCTAACATTTTCTTCTTTCCAAACCTCTGCTGGTGACAGAGCCCTCAGGCCCTTTCCTGCTGCCTGGAGCCTCTGACGCTTCTCCCTGTTGTCATCTCTCTCTCCTTCGCAGTACCCCCATTCCGGCTTTCTTGAAGCTGGTTTTTATCCTGCCATGCCCTTGCTCAAGATTCTTCGGTGGCTCCCTATGGCCCGCTTAATTGCCTACACAGACTCTCCCCACCCCTTTCAAATGCCCCCAGCCTCATGGAGTCTTTCCGGAACCACCAGAATATACCGTGCCCTTCTTAGGGTTCTCTCAGTATATTTTTAGTATATATTGAGTATTTCAAATCCCAAGACCCAAAATCAAAAATGCTCTCAAATCTGAAATGTTTTGAGTGCCGACATGATACTCAAAGGACATGCTGATTGGAACATTTCCAATTTTGGATTTTAATATCTGGGATGCTCGACCAGTAAGTATGATGCAAATATTCCAAAATCTGGACAAATCCAAAATTCAAAACACTTCTGGGTCCACTTTCAGATAAGTGATCCTCAAGCTGGACTTCTAGAACAGCACTGTCCAATAGAAATGCAATGTGAGCGAGCCACGGATACAATTCTAAATTACCCGATAGCCATATTTAGAAAGGTAAAAAAGAAGCAGGTGAAATTAATTTTAAAGTTTTATTTAGCCTACTATATCTAAAAAAATATTACCATTTCAACATGTAATCAATATAAAAAATTATTGAGGTATTTTATGGTTCCTGTTAAAATACAAGTCTACCAAATCCAGTGTGGATTTTACACTTAATAGCACATCTCAGTTCAGACCGGCCACACGGCAGGTGCCCGCTAGCAGCATGTGGCTAGCAGTGACCCTACCGCACAGCGCGGCTCTAGGGGCCTGAAGCCTGGGTTCTGACTCCTGAGCAGCCCTTGCACATGCCTGCCCATCTACACTGTGCAAGTTACTCTGTGTCAGGGGTTAAACTGTGCCCCTCACTGCCTGCCAAGTTCATATGTTAAAATGCTAACCCCCAGGACCCCAGAATGCGACATTTGGGAATAGGGTCGTTGCGGATATAATTAGCTAAGCTAGATGAGGTCACACTGGAGCAGGGTGGGCTCCTAATCCTATGTAACTCATGTCCTTTTAAGAAGAGGAAGTTCGGATAGAGACACACACAGGGAGAACACCATGGGAACTTGAAAGCAGAGATCGGGGTGATGATTCCACAAGCCAAGGAACCCCAAAGATTGCCAACAACCCGCAGAAGCTGGGAGAGAGGCATGGAGCCCTCAGAGAGGGACCTGCCCCTGCCAACACCTGTATTTTAGACTTCTCATCTCCAGAACTGTGAGACAATAAATGCCTGTCGTTTAGGTCACCCAGTTTGTGGTGCTTTGGTACAGCAGCCCTAAGAAACCAATACACTTAGTTTACGCAAGCCTCAGTTTCCTCATCTGTAATATGGGATAATAAGGTAAACGATCACAATAGCTAACATTTTTTGAGTACTTATATAGGGACTCTATCGAGGCACTTTCTCAATCCTACAATAACCGTGTGAAGTTGCTACCGTTACTGTCCCTGTTTTCTTTTATGGATGGGAAAACTGGGCACAGAGAAGTGGAGTAACTTGCCCAAGGTAACTTAGCTGCTATGTCATGGAGCCGGGATTCAAAGCAGCCCTCTTAACTCTGAGTTAACAGCTCCCGAGAACCGGCCTGGCAGGGCTGTTGGTAAGGAGTGAACGAGCTCAGAGAGGCCAGTGCTTAGGAGAGTGGCCGGGGCGTAGCCAGAGCTCAGTAAATAGTAGCTATTGTTGTGATTTTACCTCCAGCACCTGGAGCCTGGCACCGTGTGTGTGTGTGTGTGTGTGTGTGTGTGTGTGTGTGTGTGTGTGTGTGTTTGTGCGCGCGCATTGAAGAAGAACCTGTGTTCTTCCTGGACTTCCCCAAGTCCCATTAGCCTAAAAACCGATGAGCTGACTGGCCCTGCTGAGATTTCCCAGAAGTGACTAAACCTGGTGTCACTTTTAAGTTTTGCTTTCCATTTAGTGATTTAGAGAAACAGAAAGTTAGAGCTGGAGAAGGCATGACAGTGAGCTGCCTTCCCACAGCCCTCGCTGGCTCGCTCGCCAGGGGCAGCCTGGAGTGCAGGAAAGAACAGGGAACACCAGGTGGGACTCGGCTTCCCCATTATAGACCAGCAAGTTGGACCAGATACCCTGAAGGCGACTCCCAGATGTGAGCCCCCGGTGCTCTGACGGTGGGAAGCCTTAGGGGCGTGATGGAGATGCCCACGGGTTTCTCCCCAAGGGGCAAAGCAGCTGGGGACTCTCAAGTGCTCAGGTCACAGGTCACAGGCACTGGGGGAAGGAGCGAGGAAGTGGAAGGGGGTTTCTGCAGCCCCCTTGGCCTGGCTGGCACAGGGCCCTTTACTCACCTCTTGCCTGGCCACAGCGAACGGTGTGGCCCCCACCATGTGCAGAGGGGTGACCCCGCTGACCCGGGTTCTGTAATCCGTGATGTCCCCCTCGGGCCGGATGAACTTGTCGTAGAGCACCTCGCCGTGGAAGTTCACGATGCTGCACCGAGCCAGGCCGCTCTCCCGGTGGGGGCCCAGCCCCACCATCTCACAGTCAATGGCCACGGCACGGTTGCCTGCCATGCTCCGCAGGGACGCCCAGGTGCTGGAGACAGGGGCATGGGGGCCTCAGGCTCAGGCAAACCAAGCCTCCAGATGTCCTCGGCCACTCCCAGCCAGCCTGCACCTTCCACCTGCCCTTTATCTCCAACAACACCTGGCCGCAGAGGAAGCTGGCCTCTCGCCACCCCACCTGGCTTCCCCTGTGCCTGGGTCCCAGGGCCCCTGGTCCTGCCCACCGCCCGGGGACTGGGAGGCCCCCTCCGTCCCTCTGTCGTCCCTCTGTCGTCCCTTTGCCGCCCTGCCGCTGTCCCAGCTCTCACCTGCCGGCCTCTGTGCCCTCCGCTTCCGTCTGCCTCTCTGCTGCCCCGCTCAGCCCCGCCAGTCACTCTCAGCAGTGAGTCATCTCCGCTGCCAGCCGGCATTCCTGCTCCGTTTCAGTTCCTGGTTTGTTATCAAGTGAAGTGAGGGCGGGAGGCCGGCGCGTGGGCTGGGCTGGCCCGTCTCAGTCTCAGCAGCTGCCAGCAGGTGGAGAGGTCGGCTCAGAGCCTGAATCAGCAGCCCTGACGGAGCTGGCAGGCGTGGCAAGGGTGTCCGTCGTCCTTCGCCCCTTTCCCTCCCCCTTTTCCGATGACGCATCTAAAGTGGATGGAGTGGATTGCAACATCTTCCTTTCCTCTCTCACCCTCTGCCCCGAGAACAAACTTCCCCAGGATTGCAACCCAGGGAGTGTCCCACAACTTCTGGGACCCGCTACCAGCCTGATACTCTGAGGTCTTTTATGGGGGCAGGGAAACTGGCTCTTGGGACTCTGAGGCTCTTCAGTGGGGTGGGCAGAAGGTTGTGGTGGGAGGGGGCCCGTGGGGAGCCCTAGAGGCTTCCACGGGTTCAGGGGCGCTTCAGCTGCTCCGCCTCCAGCTGGGCGGGCACCGTTTGGGGGCCTTGAGGGAGACCCGCCAGCATGGTCACACTTCCCAGGGTCTACACTCTCTCCAGCTGGAACTTTGACCTCTTGGATCAGTGCCTGGCACGTGAATAACCAATGACTTATAACTGGGGCAAAACGAGAATCGGCTTCAATGAGGGAAACGCCCATCTATGCTGGGGTGAGATTCAGCAAGCATGAGCAGAGAGCTCCCGCACTTGCCTCCCACCCCAGCCCCGTGTGCAGTGAACACTGGTCAGTCTCATCTGACCGCCCTCATTGTCGCAAAGGTTTGGGGTCTGGAAAGGAACTTCCCCAGATCGGTGGTGTTTTCTCCAAGTGCGATGCCCGACTTCTAACAGACCTCAAAAATGAAACCGAATACTGAAATATGTCTTAACGAGAGGGCATCGCTCCTGTTTATTGTTTGGTTGGTTTGAATTTGAGGTACAACAGAGTATTTTTGGTGCCCATGCTGAATAAGCAACTTTTGCTTGAATTCAGACTGTTTGGGGACTTTCTGCTCTTCAAATGCATAAAGATCTGTTACCCTGATGTAGGAGGAAATGAAGCAACATTCCTGTTACTTTCCACGAACATGTATTTAAAAAGTCCCCCCCCAAACATCCACTTGGAGGATTGCTCCTGCAATCCACACGGGCCCCAGTGCCCTGTGGTGGTCCTCGGACACCAACAGCCTTGCCCCAGGCCCTGGCTCCTCGCCTCTGCCCACCTCCTCAGCTCTCAGGCAGAGCACAGCCTGCCCCTCCAATTCTTTTCCTTTTTCAATTTTTTTTTTTTTTAGTGGAGGCGGGGTCAGGGTCTCGCTCTTGCTCAGGCTGATCTTGAACTTCTGGCCTAAAGTGATCCTTCCGCTTCAGCCTCCCAGAGTGCTAGGATTACAGGCATTGCCAGGACGCCCAACCCCTACCTACCCCTCCAATTCGTACCGCATGGTCCTGTGCCCGCTTCATGGATTCAACTCCAAATCTGCACCTGCCAGTCTTCCCCGAGCTGCCTCTGACTGCGCCACTCCCCTTTCCTGGGCACAACCTAGCCCAGTCCTCACCCGCCATCCTGGGTCTCCCACTTCCACCTTCATGCTCCGCTCTAAATGATTTTTTGAGTCCCACCAGATTAAGTTTCCCAAAAGCCTAGTCTCTTGCACTGTTTGTCACAGCACTTTTCTGCTCAAGAATTTAGTGATTTCCTGTTGTAAAAAAAAAAAAAAAAAGACGTTAGGTGAGTCTTTTTTAGTCTTTTTAGTCTTTTTTAGTCTTTTTTAGACTTAGGAGTCTGCCAACCTTCTCATTTGCCAGCAAATTAATAAACTCCCCTTTCCTTCTTCTCAAACCACTTGTCCTCGTTCTTCCGTCGCAGTTTCAGGAACAAGTGCCAAACTTCCAGAAACAGATTTGGTGTCCCTGGGTGGGCGCATCAGCTTCCCGTGGAATGGCGCCCTGAGACTGCTGCACGAGCCAGGGAGCAGCTCCAGCTCAAGCCTTGGGCAGGAACATCCCCTTTTCAGGTAAGAAAGGGATGCTCCCAGCAGGTGCCGGGGCCTGTCTAGCTCCCTGAATGGACGCAGCTCTGACCAACCTGAACTGAGTTGAGGGGAAGGAAATGGATTTGGCAAGTGTTCAGATGCCACAGCCATTTGTAAGTACAGTTCCCTGGGACACCAAGACCCTGTTTCCACCCACTCCGCTGGATTTGTGGTACCAGGCGTGGTGGTATGTACCTGGTTCCCCAGTGGGACTGGGAGATGTTAGTTCTTTCATCTGAGAGAATTTGGTTCTGGGTTTGTCCCCTTGGGATTAGAATTCAATTCTCATTTTGTGGTCGGCCATGACATTTTATATTGGGGATTCCCTGTATTGTCTGTGCGTATTTGTTTGTAAAGTTTCATTGCAAACTAAGGAAGTTCTATGTGAAATTCCCTTGGAAAAATTTTGGCTGAATGATCAACTTACAGCTACAAACCTATGTCTAAAGAGAATGGTTTTATTGTAATCCAGTGTACATGCTGGAGTGTGAGAAGTTGCTGTTAAATGAAACCTTGAATTATACTGTCTTATAATTAGGGGAAAAAAGGCCAACCTCAAATCCCAGACAGTTTCATCTGCCCACTGGCCTTTTCAATCTTCTTGCACCGCTATCCAATCTAAGGACTCTCTTCAAGGTTTAAACCCACATCGGGTCCTTAGTTATGCACATGTGATCCCTCCTGAAACATCAGCAGGTCCTGCCACCTCCCTCAGGTGATGTTGGTGGTTCCTAAACCCTTGCATCCGCCAAGGGCTAGGTCTGATGGCTACAGTGGCCAGGAGGAAGAGACAGGCAGTAGTGCCCCGCCCACCTCCTTCCAACCACACTGGCTCTTCCTGTTCCTCCAACACTGTTTGCCTTCCCAGTAGTCTGGAAAGCTCTTTCTCCAGCTCATCCGTCTAATTTGCTCCCATTCCCTCAGGCCTTCCCTGACCTCTTTATTTAGAACTGCACTTCCTAGCCCCTTCCTGGCCTTTTTCTATAGGAATTAGCACCATCTGAAATACCTGTCTACTTGGTCATTTACTGTTCCCCTACCTTCTGTTTGGATCACTGCTGGGCCCCCAGCACTTAGAACCTCACCTGGGTCAGGCTGAATTTTTTTTCAAATGTGTGCTCTGACGTTGGCCCCAGGCACTGGTAACTAACAGCACCGAGAGAGCAGCCCCCACCCCAGCCAGGGGGGTTCTTGGTGCTGACCTCCAGCTTTAACTGGCATCAGACATGGGCAGACCACACCCAGGAACATTTTTGGATCAGGTGATAGCAGGAAAGTGTCACTCGGGGCAAACCTGCCAGCCTTAAAGACACACATCCAGCCACGGGTGACAACTATAATGACCAGAGCAGCATGAAGTCTGCAGTCTGTGGCCCTCTCTGAATCCCCAGCACGGGGCTCAGGACACACGCCCAGTGGACATCAGGTCGCCTGCTGGGAGAGCTGCCGTGACTCTCCATTGGCATTGGCAGGGCAGCCGCAGCCCTCCCAGCAGGCGACCTGCTCTTCCAGCCCAGCTGCCTCCACCCTTGCTGGGCACGCACCCCTAAAATGTGTGTGTGCCTCTAAGTTGACCCTTGAACAACACGGGTTTGAACTGCTTGGGTCCACTTATACACAGATTTTTTTTCAATAGATATATTGGGAAATTTTTTGCAGATTTTTGACAATTTGGAAAAACTTGCAGATGAACCATATACCCTAGAAATACTGAAGAAATTAAGAAAACTTTAGGTATGTCACGAATGCACAAAACAGATGTTGATACTAGTCTACTTTTTTTTTTTTTAAGAGACAGGGTCTTAGTCTGTCTCCCAGCCTGGAATGAATGCAGTGGTACAATCATAGCTCACTGAAGCCTTGAATTCCTGGGCTCAAGTTACCTCCTGCTTCTGTCTCCTGAGTAGCTGGGACTACAGGTACATACCACCACGCCTGGATAGTTTTAAAAATATTTTTGCAGAGATGGGGGTTACACTATGTTGCCTAGGCTGGGCTTAAACTCTTGGCCTCAATCCTCCTGCCTCACCCTCCCAAAGTGCTGGGATTACAGATGTGAGGCACTGCACCTGGCCTATTTTTATCATTTACTACCATAAAATATATACGAATCTATTATTAAAAGGTAAAATGTATCAAAATTTACCCACCCTACATGGCGCCATTCTCAGTTAAGAGAAGTGTAAACAAATGTGAAGATATAACATTAACTGCAGTACATACAGCACTACTGTAGTAAGCCCACAGCCACCTCCTGTTATTGCAGCGAGCGCAAGTGTCTCAAGTATCCACTGCAAATAGCCAGTCTGCGTGAGCAGTTTGTCTCTCCAGTAAATTGCGTATCACAGTAGCAAGGGATCTCTCTTGGTTCTTGAATATTTTTCTTTGTGTTTAGTGCAACACCAGAAACCCTGAATAACACCACAGGACCCATACCAAGTGCCACCAGTAATGCTGAAAGCGCTCCCAAGGAGCAAAGTCACGACATTGTAAGAGAAAGTTGAACTGCTTGATATTAACATGGCACGGTAAATACAAGTCCGCAGCTGCAGCTGCTGCCGTTTCAGATGATTCAGCTTGCAAACAGATGATGTAAACTTACGGTATCAATAAATACAGTACAGTTCCATAAATGTATTTTCTCTTCCTTATTGTTTAATAACATCTTTTCTCTAGCTTTTTTTTTTTTTTTGAGACAGAGTCTCACTTTATTGCCCAGGCTAGAGTGAGTGTCATGGCATCAGCCTAGCTCACAGCAACCTCAAACTCCTGGGCACAAGCTCAGCTCACCTCAGCCGAGTGGCTGGGACTACAGGCATGCGCACCATGCCCGGCTAATTTTTTCTATATATTTTTAGTTGGCCAATTAATTTCTTTCTATTTAGTGGAGATGGGGTCTCACTCTTGCTCAGGCTGGTCTCAAACTCCTGAGCTCAAACGATCTGCCTGCCTTGGCCTCCCAGAATGCTAGGATTGCAGGCGTGAGCCACAGCCCGCCCAGCCTCTAGCTTATTTTAATACAATATGTAATACATATAACATACAAGATGTGTTAATTGTTTATGTTATTCGTAAGGCTCTAGTCAATAGTAGGCTATTAAAACTTT